AGATGATCAAGGGTCTGGGAAGCCTGCCGTATGGGGATAGGCTGAGAGAGCTGGGTTTGTTCAGCCTTCAGAAAAGGAGGCTTAGAGGTGACCTCATCACCATGTACCAGTACTTAAAGGGGAGCTACAAAGAAGATGGAGACTCCCTTTTTACAAGGAGTCACATGGTGAGGACCAGGGGTAACGGGTACAAGTTACTCCCACGGGGATTCCAATTGGACACGAGAGGTAAATTTTTCACAATGAGAACAGTCAATCATTGGAATAATCTCCCCAGGGAAGTGGTTGACTCTGCTACGCTGAACATGTTTAAGACTCAGCTGGACATGGTGCTGGGCCATCTCATCTAGATTGTGCTAGAAAGGTTGGACCAGGTGATCCTTGAGGTCCCTTCCAACCTGGTATTCTATGATTCTATGATTTATCCCTAAACTTTTCCTTATTACCAGGCTGTTGAATCATTATTGATTCAGCATTGTTTTCTTACAGGTCTTACTCACAGATTCTCAGCTAGGATAATTCCTCAGAACCCAGTTATTCCACTAGAGTGAGGAGAATTTATAGTTAGACAAATGAGCATCTCTGATTTATTTCTTATATAAATAGTAAGATACTTCACATTTTTTAAATTTGATATACACAAAAATGTAGTCATTAATTATTTTAAAAGAAATAATATCCATCCACATACTAGTTATTTTTTCTGTTCTACTGTTGCAGGATATATGCCTGGGTTTATTATGTATTTTGTGTATTATGCAATATTTTAAGGCTCTCCTACATTTTTCAGTGTGTAGACAGAAAACTGAACCCACACCTTTTTCCACTGAAGTCAATCGGAGAGAAACAGTAGCCCACTTCAATGCTACAGATCCACAACCAAAGCCAAACTTATTAAGGAACTTCGGACATTATTCTCAGTCCTCTCATAGCCTCTTAGTAAAAATAAAAAACCTTACAAGCAATAATTCAGTATTGTACTGCATTAAATACTATGGCTGAAAAACCTCTTAATATTAAAAGAAAGATTACTTAGTCATGTTTCTTGCCAGAAAATCCTTTCTGCAGATCTCTCCCATTCCTGGAAAATGGTTGATTCTCTGAGGAAGGAGAAAAAAAAGAAAGTGAGTTGGTACTTTTTAGCTTTCCTGGCATACCTAATACAATCATTTCAAATGTTCAACTGCATGCTCAGGCAAACATGGTGTTGCATATAAATTATTTAAGATAATATCTTACATTATACTATGTATCCTTAGCAATACTAAAGATACTGTAAGTTATATTCTCCTCCACCAACATGAGTGTGCCCATTGATTTCATTTCAGACATGAAAGGAGACTATCATACTCTTATTCACAAAGCTATCTAGGAACAAAGAACGCTATCACAAAGTAATGGTTAAAAAAAAGGAATTACTTATTCACAGAAACTGTGGAGAGAGCTCTGCTTGTTAACTTACTGCTTAAAACCTTATGAGCAACTTATAAATGATGTTTTGCATCTTCTTTCAAACTCTGATCATTCACAACACCCAACTGGCAGACAAAAGCATGAAAGAACAGCCCCAACTATTTAAACACCAGATTCCAAGTGGTATGAACAAATAACTCTGGAAAAGAGAATAGGATTTTAAAGTATGTAGTGGTATGGCCTTATTGCAGTCTGGTTGGTGGTGTTTTGTGGGTTGTTTGGTTTTTTTTCTCTCCATACAAATGTAACTGACCAAAAGTGACACCTTACTGAACGCTTCAGAGTGAAACAGCTTACTGAAACATGCCAGAAATCCTAACTACCACTCTACCTGATAGTTCCGAAGTTCAGCAATCTTTTCTTGTTGCACAGCAGAATCACTCCATATAAGATTAGCTGTTTCATCTTCGTCACGTGTTTTCACAAATCCCATCTCTCGTATTACTACACGTACTACAGAAAAATCACATACTTAAGGAATATTTTGAATCTCTAAAATAGATTCATTTTCAAAATTAAAAAAAATCAATTAAGATTTTAAGCACTTCCAATATTCAACCTTTTGTCTGAGAACAATGTTAGCATGCAAGCTATTATTTATCTTGCAATATTTCCATTAGTCTATTGCAAACCTGCCATTACAACATGACAGCACCTTGTACTGAGGCTGGTATCAGAGCACAGCCACTGACAGGAACTGTAAAGAGCTTCAGGGCATTTGACAATCATCTAGTAAAAGTCCACTTGCACGGCTTTTAGACTTAATGTTGGCTATCACATATGCTAATTTTAAAACAGTGATGACTGCAAGTGTCACTGCAGACAGGGGACAAAAATGCCTCCTTAGTCAAGGTACAGTAGTTACTAAAGCAAATGCGTACATTATTTTAAGACAAAAAAAGAGAAAAGACCGATTATCTGCCAGGCATAACTCAGGTTCTAGGAGAAAAGATTTTTCTGAAGTAGTCCCAAGCATCAAAATACAAAACATTAGGAGATTTTATTGAGAAACCTCTGTATAATAATTAGAGTATTTAACATTAAATTTACACTGTTCATCTTTCAAGGCTTTAAGTAAACTTCAAACACATACGTAATTCATAATTAGAGGGTTTCTCCACAGCCTTCTTGATTACTTAAGTTTTTGAATTTCAAGGCCATTCCCTGCGTAACAAATGGGCAGTAACAGATGCGCAGTGTTCAAAGCTATCAACTCAATGTTACACAAAAAAAAGAAAAAAAAAACAAACATCAAAGGTTTCTTACAAAAGAAAATCCTTTGGAAATGTCTCACTGTCAGCTTGATGCGAAGTCCATTAATTCACCCTTTTAGTTAGTAATTCACTCACCTCAATGGCTATTAAGATTAAAACAAAATATGTAGCTTCCTACCAATTTCATATTTTGTGCCAGCAACATTTGCAGTGATGACTCCATTCTTCTTCTTTCTGACTTTTCTTTTAATTGTGCTTTGATAGGGTAGTTCCGAACTCAAAGTCAGAGGAGCAGTTCCATGGTTATCTTTAAAAAATAATGATGTTGTAACTATCAACATCTTTATATCTCAAATAACGTATACAAATGAACTAAAAATACAAACATTTACTTCGTTGCAACTTAGTGGTACAAGCATACTGAATCATTAATAGGCTACATTACAAATCCAAGACTAGCATACCTCCCTCATTAGGCAAGGATGGCATTATAACCTAGGATAGTGCAGAAGCAGAGCCCAAATTCCGTTCCAAGTTCTCAGAAAATGATGGAGCTGTCAAAGCCAAATTATTTAAAGCTCCAGTCACACCATTTCAGTCTCTGGCTGTAGCAAATATTAGTTCTGGAATGGACAGATATCTGTGTTAAAAAAATACAAGAGAAACTTTGTTATAGAGAAATCCTGAAGAAATATAAACAGCAGAAAACTAAATACGGAAATGCTTTTAATAACAAGTCAAAAGTAATGCTTATTTTAAAAGATTGATCAAGTTATTGTAAATACAAAACTTTGTTCATTACAATTCAATTGTTTTGTTTCTGGGAAAAATAATTTTGCAATATTAATTTTCCAAATGAGATTATATTACCTCATTTTCTTATTTTCATTTGTGTATGGGAGATTTGGGGCATGAAAATAGGTAACAATAAATTCAATCAATACTGCAAACTTTTATCTTCACAAAGCTCTCTGAATTTATAGCAATTTTAAACCATATTTTAATTAAGAATTTAAAATCAGACACATTGTATTATGTGTTTTCAGGTACCAAATGGGAACTAACTGAAATCACCTTAATAATCTTTTTCCACGTTTTCATTTTTCAACATTTTTTAAAGCAATTGTCCAGTAATCACTTGATAACACATGGCTGCAGTTTCCTGACCACTTCATGACACAATGGACATAATTTCAAAGACACTTTGGGTTGGCAAGTATCTAAATTGTCAGTTTCTAAAATGAGTAATTATTTGCATAAAATGCTATTTTTCATGTCTACACTGATGCAAAATTTCATTTTTTTTTCTCTATGAATACACTACCACACATGAAAATGCCACATATTAAGAAGTTTTTTAGGTCCAGCTTAAGCACATACGAACAATGGGCTAAAATATTAGCAAAAAAACCTCAGGAATAAAATGCTTCTAAATACACTGCTACATGACTTCAGGCGTGCAGCACTGTTTTAACAAAGCCTGCAAGGAAACAAATGCTGTCTTTGGCAGGCTGCCTCAAACAAATCTACAAGTTTTTGAATCATATACAATATAAGGTACTGATTTTTAAATGCTTTCATTTCTTTTCTGCAATTATATGTGTGGCTAAACTTCCTTACACTAGCTTTAGATTAGATTATATTGCCACTAGTGGTGATTGCAAAACTTATTTCAAATAGCAGAAAATTACGGTAAAGTCAAATTCAGCCATGACTTATGACGTGAAACATCTTTGGTCATAAGACTGGACAAGATGTGCATTAGCAAAATTACCAGAATATTACTTTATATTACCATTATATATTATTGTGGTATATATCATATTATATATATAACCAGAATATTACCAGAATATAAATCCTCATTTTTTTATTTGTGTGTGTGTGTGTGTGTGTGTGCACGCACATAAACATGTCAGAGAGAGAAAGAGAGAGATACAATTATATTCTGGACAAGTTACCCTCTTGATAAGAAAATATAAAAGCAGATACCTTGAGCTGCAAGATCTTATTTCCTTTCAAGACAGAAATTTAATCTTAACAGTCCATTAACACAAAAGGATAAAAAGAACAGATTATGGTTCTCTTATGACTGTTGCCAATGTACTAGGGGCCAAATTCTGCTTTGTAATAAGACAACCAAATCTCCCTCATGTCCATTTAATGGAGTGCCACAAATTAAGACTAAAACGTGACGTGACCCTGTGTATTTATCCAGAAAGTAAGAACAGGAGATGTTTTATGCACAGATACAATGTTTGACAGCATAGTAGTAACTCCCAGCCACACCTACTTGCAACATACTTTGCTGAACCAGAAGTCGCTAAGAAAATCCCACCAAATTGAACTAAAACTGGCAGGTCATTTTGAAGTTTTAATGTTTTGGATGCCATCATCTGAGAAGGTGGCCTGAAAGTCCTCCTGCCCGACAGCCTACTAAAATTAGACACAGAGATGGGAAAGCAAAGCAATCATCCTCCTTAAAACTACGGTGAAGGAAAAGCAGTGCCGGGCACAATGACTCACTGAATATTGCCTGTTATCTGTTTCTCAGGCTAAGAATACCACCAGAGTACAAGACATGTTTAGTTCCTGGGAATAATACTGAAGTATGTCTGTTCGCCAATTAAGGACTTCTATGCACATACACAAATGCCTAGCAGTTGTTCCTCCGCTGTACTGGCTAAAAGCTTTTAACAAATTTGGAAGAATGTCAAGACGACTAATACTTCCCTGTGAGAAACGCCAGCCCTTACTAATACAGCATGATTTACAAGCTATGATACAGTAATAAAAACCAAGCAGCTCATAGAGCTTTCGTTCAGCTTATAACCACAGAAAAATATCTGCCCAAAGTTATTATAACACATTGTATTCTGAAGGTGGACCATAAAGCTCCAAACTGCGCTACGTTGTTGAATTACTGTTTTTCTTTATATATAAACTCTTCTACTCTCTTGAGAGGAATACTCTTCCAGGTTTAAATAGAAAGCACCAACACTCAAGGTCTGTAACTTTCAACCAGTCAACTTTTTAGCACACGTACATGAGCTGATGGTCAGCTTTAGAGCATTCTATGGACAATTAGTAGTTTGGCCATATGGAAAACAATGTAATTGAACTGACTAACTCTCACAAATATCTCTGCAAACTGATCATTGAAGTAACTCTTTTCTTGACAAGATTACGAATGACACAATTTTATCATCACAGCTGAAGTATACACTCCTCTAATGATGTCAAATCTTGTTACAAAGACACATGCAGTCTATTTGTCAAATCCTGATTTAAACTGAATTCCTCAAAGACAAAAGGGATCATTACTGTACTCTGTATTCAAACTTACTCTAGGCTTTTGACTTTTCACAAGCACTGTCCTATGTCAATAAAGTTAAACTGTAGTATGCCTTAAGCTTGTATATAATAATTCAAAATCATTTTACAATTGCTTCGCTTCTCTTAAGTCACCCATCTCCAAACAACCATTTCACTGAATACCAAAACACCAGCAGTTCTAAATTAGAAGTAGTTTTCCAAAATATTTTACACAGGATGCAGTCCTTCCCTTTGTTCCTACTGGAACCATATCCTTTCCAAAGGGCAAATACAGGTCCAATGAACTTGGACATTCTCAGCTTTACTTCCCACTGTGTCAAGTGACAGATGAGAGGTACAGCATCTCATCTGGGGGAATACATTACCCAGAGCACTAGCTGTGAGTTGTAGGCTAAGCCATGGGAGCAGTAGACTTGCTCCTGCTTAGACTTCCATGCTTTGTATGTCCCCAGTGCAGTACCACGAGAAGTTCCAATTCTGCAGGAAGAAAACCTACGACCAGGCTACTGAGGAAGCTGCAATCCTCCCAAGTAAACTGCAGCAGCTCCTCAGACTACACTTCAGATGAGCAGTTCTCTAACTGGGGGAATGGGTCACCTGGGAGAGACAGGAATACATCTCTGAGAGCAATAAATGAAGGTCTGTTGCTGGGGGGAGGGAGCTGGAAGGAGAGGGACACACACTGACAGAGCACTGAGATGCAACACTGCAATGCCACAGGCCCTGGCAGCCACGAGCTTCCACAGGTCTCTCCTCTTTTTGACTTCTATACAGCAGAAATCACCCTAGAGTTACTTCATTCTCTGACCCAGGTCCTCCCCAGACACCTTTTTCTAGCTCACATCTCTTGATTTGTTATTATTGCCCAGGCCTACTCCCAGTCAGAGCACACTTGTCTCAGGCATGCTGAAGGAGAGACTTGCAGCGCAGACCACTTTGCAAGCAGCCTCTGCCACCCCGACGGAATTGCCAGTTACAGGGCAATTACAGCTTATTGCAGGGCCCACCAGATCATGCAACAGTAACGGCAGCAGCATTGTCGGGTTATGAATACACCAAATTCTGAGTCAGTTCTTACTGTATAAGTAAGAACTTGTCACAGTTATAAGCATAACCTATAACCTGCGTTCAGCTACAACGTAGAGGCATATCGCTCTAGCAACCTATCTGAAAGACCTGTTTCTAAGAGATTGCTTTTAACAACATGGAAGAAAGTTTTCTGTTTCCAAACTCGGACTGATGGAGCTTGCTTAACCTTGGCAAGTCAGCTATCGGGAATCTCTGAATTCACACTCAGACAGAAAAGGACTGCAGTTCCTGCTGTATATACCATTTCCCTCCTGAAATTGTGATACTCACAAATTGGTGAAGGTTTGTTGCTCACCCATATTGATTCAAGGGTGGCTGAACAAAAGTGGTTAACCTACATGGAGAAAGACTTGTGGAGAAGAAATGAATGCATCTTCATCAGGTTAGCATATTCTTACACAAGCAAGCACTTTGAATAAAAGTGTTCTACAGGGGAAAAAAGAGATGAGATGTTATCTTTACTGTTGCCTGGTGAAGGTGTGAGAGAGCCGGCAAGAGAGATACACTGCACACAAGCCTGTCCTAGAAAGAGACAGAAGAAAAAAAGGGGAGGGAAGGGAAAAAAAAAAAAAAAAAATCAGAGTGAGAAACCTCTAGAAACACATTTTCAGACACAAAAGCCCTGTCCAAAAAAAAAAAAAAAAAAAAAAAGGGGGGGGAAGGGAAAAAAAAAAAAAAAAAGAAAAAGAGAAAAAGGAGCTTTTTTCCTCCAGGGGCAGCAGAGGTAGGGTACTCTTGCTGGAGAGGGAAGTGTTGCACACAGACAGAGACCAAATCAGGTGCTTGAGTCCACCTAAGGGAACAGCCTGAGGAAGATGCGAGAGTGCCTGGGTGAAGAGCAGGGAACAGTGGGAAGAAGTGGTTTCATAGTTAATTGAATGACCCATGTTTCCTTGATAACAAGTTGTAGTATGTTGTAGAAAAGAAAAAATTAAGAGTATATTTTGCTGTTACACAAATTAAGTGTTTCATAAGAAGTTAGTAAATTGCCTGAAAAATATTCTTCTGGCCTAGATTATATAGAAGTATTTCTGAACAAATCCCTCTCATTTCCTAAGCTATTTGCACCATACTGCTCGCAAGTGACCTCTGCCTTTCATGATCCATCCTGATGCAGTGTGGAGCTGAAAAGGCTATTTTTAATCTCTAAATAGGAATTGCATGCCATCAGACCCTTTTTTTTCCCCCAAAGAATAAGCAT